CCGTGAATAATGACTACTAGGATAGCCTTAGAACGAGATTCGTAAAGGGAACCTGATGTAACACAGTCTTCGTGACTGACCCTTCGTTGCTTGAAGGGAACCCTTCATGAAGAGCCCGTGTTGCAGAACACTTGATAAATAAACCCGTACTAGGAAACACTGGCACGATAATCGTTACGCATGAACACGTAAGCAAAGAATCCGAAGTGACAGACCATTAGCAAAGAATACAGACCAAGGAACCCCTAGTAAAGAATCCTTGCTGTGGAAACCCCCTCAATACATAATACGTACTCAAGAACCCTTAGCAACACAAACTACTCAAGACCCGCTACCAGTAACGACTCAACGTTCCTCCACCCAATCAACGTACGAACAAGTTAAAGACTCAACGAATGAACGTCCCTGCATTGGCTCCGCCGTGACGAATTAGCGTAGTAAAGAGTCATACGTCCCTCCATCCTCTCCGCACCCACCATCCATCAACCGTCGTTCCATCCTCACGCCGCGTGTTCAACGTCATAGCCATCCTCCCCATCATCATCACCACCACCACCATCACCATCATTATCATCAGGATCATCATCTTCATCAGCATCAGCATCACAATCATCACCAGCAGCATCATCAACACCAACAGTATCCTCATCATAATCGTCGTCGCCGCCACCGTCGCCACCAGCATCAGCATCCTAATCGGCACCAGCATCAACATCATCAGCATCATCATTAGCCATTAGCATCAGCATGAGCATGGGCATCTTCATCCTCATCATCATTAACAGCATCGTCGTCATCATCATCACCATCCTCATCGTCAAAGTAATCATGGCCGTCGTCGTCATCATCATTAGCAGCAGCACCAGCGGCACCATCACCATAATCACGACCGATATCACAGGAATCAACACCATCATCATTACCATTATCATCACCATCAGTCACCAATATCATTACCATTATACTCGCCATCACCAGCAGCATCATCACCTGCCTCGAGATCACAATCATGATCACAGCATCATCAATCTCAGCAGTACCATCAGCACTATCAGAATCATCACGATCATCATCATGGCCATCACCATCACCACCATGACCATGATCAACCACGTCAGTGCAGTCACCACCAGCATCATCACGTTCATCACCATCATCATCAATACGCATCATCCTAATCAGTAGTATCAGTAACACCACCGCCTCAAGCGAGGAATCATTGATGTACGTATTCAAGAGAGAGAGAGAGAGAGAGCGAGCCAGAGAGAGAGAGAGAGAAAGAAAGACATAGAGAGACCTCGACTCCTGAGTACATTGCGAAAAACTATCGAACGAGAGCTCGACTCGGGCGAGAGCGCGAGGCCTGAATAAATTGCAATGAAGTCTAGGCGACATCGCGATGCCTATGCAAATTGCGAAGAAGTCTTTAGCGAGAGCGAGATTCCTGCGCAAATTGCCAAGATCACGACAGCGAGAACGCGATTCCTGGGTAATTCGCGGGGGCTTCTCGAGCGAGAATGCGATCCCGTAGAGGATTGGGACGCCCTCCGGGATCATGAGTTCCATCGGAATCCATAAGAATCCTCAGGAAGCACATGGAACACGAGGGAATCAATAGAAATCTTCAGGACTCCCTAGGAATCGTAGGGAATCAAGAGCATCCTCAGGAAACCTCTGGAGTCCTCAGGAGTCCTCAGGGGTCCTCAGGAATCCACAGGACCCCGTGGCACTCGTCAGGAACCAATAGGAATCCCTCAGAACCCTGGAGGAGCCATACGATCCCCTGAGATCCACATGAATCCTAAGGAATCGATAGGAATCCTCAAGTCCCCAGGGCTCAGGAGTCCAGATAAATGCTGGGGAGTCCAGGGGAATCCTCAGGAATCCTTTGGAATCCGAATGCATTCAGCAAACTAATTCGGAAGACATGGGGACCTTCAAGAATCCACAAGAGTCCCAGGAAATCCTTCTGGGATCCTCGGGAATCCGTTAGGAATCTTTGGGGGTCCTCAGGGATCTCCAGGATTCCACAGAAGTCCGCACACAACCGTAGGAACCCTCTGGAATGCCCAGGAACCTCCCTGAATCGGAAGCCGCAAAAGTCATTCTGGGATTGCAGAGGTCCCATAGGAATCTCATAGAAGCGTCTGAAACACGTCGTTTTCAACAACGGCAACAACAATCAAGCTAAGACGGTTCACTCTTATCTGTTCGCATGGCATACAACACGTATATCCCAAACCATCGATACCTGCTCTTTTCGTCTTCGACCGTACCCCATTTGGGCATGTCTTCCTTATTTGAAGCACGTAGGTGGCGCAGCCGCTAAAGCAGCGGAATGAAGGGAGGAGGGAAGAGACAAGGGGAAGGAAAAAGGATGGAGCACGAGGGAGAGGGTCAGGAGCAGGAACACAAACAGCAGAACCAGGCGGGTCGGGTGGGCGGACCCTGACGGGCAGATCGGGCGGGCGGGCCCAATCAGTGGGGTCGAGCGGGCGGGTCGAAGAAGCGAGAGCGTGATTCCTGAGTCTTGGGGGCACGGCGCCGAAATAAACTGTGAGGACGTACCACGCGAGAACGCGATTGCTGCATAAGTTCGGACGAAGTCCCGCGCGAGAGCGCGAAATTACAATTATGAGAAAGTATCAGGCCGGAGCCGTTGAACTCTCATTTCTGCAACATAATTATTGTTGATCCCCCCCGTCCGGTGCACATTGTTTTTTTCGATTGAAGTGCCCTTCCCGGGGCTCGCACCCTGTTTTCTATCAGGGAAATCCTTGAGGGTCAAACTGTGTCGTTGGCCCCCGGCCTGCAGGGAAGAGAGGTATACCCCCCAAGAGGGGTTCGATCGAAGACGAAGAGGGCGGGTATCGAGGGTTTGGGAAATAGGCGTAATTGGACACTCGAGCAGATAAGGGCGAACAGTCTTGAAATAATTGTTGTTATTGTTGTTGAACTCTCATTTTTGACGAATGATTATTGTTGATCCCCCCCACCGGTGCATATTACCTAACAGCTTTTGCTGATAGGTTTCTAGTAGGGTCAAAAGAAATCATCATGACTCCTCAGGGGGGTCTGGGCGGGTGCCGGGGAGGAGAACCGGGAATCGTTTTTCGCCAACGGTCACACACTTCGTGCTCTTCGACCTCCCAGAACTCCACTCCCGGGCCACATTCTGGAGAACCGGGAACAGAGCCGGGCTCACACACTTCGTGCTCTTCGACCTCCCAGAACTCCATTCCCGGGCCACATTCTGGAGAACCGGGAACAAAGCCGGGCTCGTTTTTTGTTTTATCAACAGTCAAACACTTCGTGCTCTTCGACCTCCCAGAACTCCATTCCCGGGCTACATTTTGAGTGCCCGGAGCCAACTGTAGGCCACTTCGTGCTCTTCGAGTTCCCAAAACTCAACTCACGGGCCACATTTTGGATGCCCCGAACCAACTGTAGGCCACTTCGTGCTCTTCGATTTCCCAAAACTCTATTCCCGGGCCACATTTTGGATGCCCGGAACCAACTGTAGGCCACTTCGTGCTCTTCAAGTTCCCAGAACTCTATTCCTGGGCATGATTTTGAATGCCCGGAGCCAACTGTAGGCCACTTCGTGCTCTTCTAGTTCCCAGAACTCCATTCCTGGGCCACATTTTGAATGCTGAGGCAGGCTGATGCTGCGGCCGAGGCAGGCTGAGGCTGAGGCAGGCTGAGGCTGAGGCCGAGGCTGAAGGCAGACTGAGGCTGAGGCTGAAGCAGACTGAGGCTGAGGCTGAGGCAGGCTGAGGCGGAGGCTGAAGCAGGCTGATGCTGAGGCAGGCTCAGGCTGAGGCTGAGGCTGGCTGAGGCTGAGGCAGGCTGAGGCTGAGGCCGAGGCTGAAGGCAGACTGAGGCTGAGGCTGAAGCAGGCTGAGGCTGAGGCTGAGGCGGGCTGAGGCTGAGGCAAGCTGAGGCTGAGGCTGAGGCAGGCTGAGGCTGAGGCTGTGACTGCGACTGCCGTTGCCGCTGCGACTGTCATCGCGAATGCGACTACGACTGCGAGAACAACGGAATTCTACAGCTGGATTTTCATCTGAATCTCAAGGGGAATGCTTTCAGATATGCTTCTGCATTTCGCTGTTAGGTTGTTTTGCCGGGATAGTTGTTTTTTCTAAATCAATGTGTGTCCCTCGACGCTCGCATCCTGTCTTTTGACAAGGAAAGTCTTGATGCTCAAACTGTGCCCCTGGCCCCCAGATTACAACAACGGCTCCCGCCTGAGACGTCCTTACAATTTAGCCAGGACCCCCGCTCGCGCCCGAGACTTCCTCGCATTTTATTCAGGACTCGCGCTCTCGCTTTGAAGTTCCTTAAAATCTATTCAAGAATCGCTCTCCCGGCGCTCTGGAGTCACGCTCTCGCTGGAAACTTCCTTGCAATTTACTGAAGAATAACGCCCTTGCATTGGAATTTCGTGCAAGTTGCTCAAGCACCGCGCTCCCGACACCCAGGCACCCATGAATCGCGCCCGTTGTGGCCTCATGTGCATGCCCTTGGTGGCCCCGCTGTCGCCGTTTGTGGCCTCTTCACTGTCCTACGTGGCCCAGTTGCTACCCTCAATGGCCCCATCGTTGCCTTCTGTGGCCCCGCATAAGCTGCCCTTCGTGGCCCCCGCTCGTTCGCGCTCTTCGTGGCCCCAGACGAATTCCCTTCGTGTCCCTGCTGTCGCCCTTCGTGGCCTACTTCGTGTCTTTCGTGGCCCTGCTGTCGTTCTCTCTCGCTCTCGCTTTCGCTCGTCGTCGCCGTCGTCGTCGTCGTCGCCGTCGTCGACGTCGTCGTCGACGTCGTCGTCGTGGTCGGTCCCCTGTCCGTCCCTCTTGGGGTCGGGTCGACGGTCCGCGGCCGCCCCCGCGGTCTACCCTACAAAAGGGGTTCGATCGAAGACGAAGAGGGCGATTACCGAGGGTTTGGGAAATACGCGTTATTGGACACTCGAGCAGATAGGGGCAAACAGTCTTAAAATGATTGATGTTGTTGTTGAAAATTCATTTCTAGAGAATAATGATTGTTGATCTCTGGAAACGGTTCTGGGCGCTCTCACCTCGACGCCAGCTACATGTTCTCTCAAAACGAGGCTCCCGCCCAAGCTTTGGCTTGACCCTAAAAGTGGGCCCTTGGAGGCCCAGCTACGACAACAACGGCTCCCGCTCGATACTTCCTCACAATTTACCTCGAGACACCCTGGCCAGAGAGGCCCCCGAACTCAGGAACGGCGCTCTCGCTCGAGACTTCCTCGCAATTCAGTCAAGTTGGCGAGGGCCCAACCACGACGACAAGGGCTCCTGCTCGATACTTCCTCACAATTTACTCAGAGCCCCTGGCCAGGGAGGCCCCCGAACTCAGGAGCGGCGCTCTCGCTCGAGATTTTCTCCTGATTCAATCAAATTGGTGGAGGCCCAAATACGACGACAAGGGCTCTCGTTCGATACTTCCTCAGGATGTATTCGCAGAGGCCCTTGCCAGAGAGGCCCCCGAACTCAAGAGTGGCGCTCTCGCTCGAGACGCCCTCGTCATTCAGTCAGTTGGGTGTGGGCCACGCCGCGACGTGAAGGGCTCCCGTTGGTTACTTCCTCAAGCTGCACTTCGAGAGCCTGTGGCCCGAGACTGCAAGTCAGCAGCGGCGCTGGAGGCCCAACTGCGACGACAGGGGCTCCCGCTCGACACCCCCTATAGTACTCCTACACGACCTGGCCAGAGAGGCCCCCAAACCACAAATGCCCCAGCACGCTGCTCATTGAGGCCTCCGGGCACAGTCCACAAAAAGCTCCGAGCGCGCCCACAAGGGCCCCAGCACGCTGCCCACTGATGCCTTCGGACACAGCCCACTGGAGATCCCAGCGCGCTGCCCACTGAGGCCCCCAACGCACAACTCTCTGAGGCCCACAGTAAGCCCACAGGGACCGTACCATGCTGCCCGCGGGCCCACCGACACAGCACACATAGGCGCCAAGCGCGCCCACAGAGGCTCCCCCGCGCTGCCCACAACAAAGGCCCAAACCCCCGCCCCGAGCGTGCCCACGGAAACCCCAAGCGCGCTGCCCACTGAGGCCCCCCGTTCCGCAGAGGCCCCACGCGCACCCACAGAGGCCCCCAGCGCGCCCACAGAGGCCCCCGCGCGCTGCCCACTGAGACCCTCGCGCGCTGCCCACTGAGGCCCCCGACGCAGCCCACAGAGGTCCCAGCCCGCACAAGCCCCAAGCGCGGCCACACAGGCTCCCGCGCGATGCCCACTGAGGCTCCCGACACAGCCCACAGAGGCTCAGCGCGCCCACAGGGGCTCCAACCCACAGCCCCAACCCACAGAGGCCCCAAGCGCGCCCACATAGGCCCCAAGCGCGCCCACAGAGGCCCCAGCGCGCTGCCCACTGAGGCCCCAGCCCACACTTCGCAATTCAATCAAGTTCGCGGATGCCCAGCCGCGACGACAAGGCTCCCGCTCGATATTTCCTCGCGGTTTACTCCGGGAGGCCCTGGCCAGAAAGATTCCCGAACTCAGGAACAGCGCTCTCGCTGGAGACTTTCCTGGCAACTCAGTTAAATTAGTGGGGGTGCAGCCGCGATGCCATGGGCTCCCGCTCGATGCTTCCTCGCGATTTGCTCTGAGAGGTCCTTTCTCGTGATCCATCCTTCTCTTCCCCCATCCGTCCCCCCTTCACCTGTTTTACTAGGGACTGCGCTACATGAGCGAGGCAGGTAAGGAAGATATTCCCCCGAGGGGGTACGGTCGAAGACAAAGAGGGCGGGCATTGAGGGTTTGGGATATAAGCGTTACGTGGCACGCGATCGAATAATAACAAACAGTCTTAAACTGATTGTTGTTTTTGTAACCCAGGGGCTAGGGGCACAGTTTAAGGACCTAGACCTTCCCTGGCAAACAAGCAAGTGAGAGCCCCAGGAGGAGCACTTTAACTGAAATAACACCTTTGGCACCGAAGAGGGGATCACTAGTAATTATTGTACTTATTGCTTAGATATGAACATCAACACCAACACCAACGCGGTCGTCGTCATCACCACCACCACCACCGTCATCATCATCATCATCAGCATCATCATCATCATCATCATCAGCAGCAGCAGCAGCAGCATCAGCATCAGCATCATCATCAACATCATCATCATCAGCATCACCAGCAGCAGCAATATCAGCATCATCATCATCAGCAGCAGCATCAGCAGCAGCACCACCACCACCACCATAATCAGCAGCATTAACTACTCATCATCATCGGAAGCTCCATGGCTGGTGGCTCCAATCCTGAACACCAGAGCGGATGAAGGCGAGAGGAAGAAGAGCAGGAGGATATGGGATGGAGGGAAGGGGTGAACATCAGGAGCAGGATAATGAAAGGCAACGCAAGGTCCAGCACCATTAACCGCGGGCGCCCCTTTACTCACTGCCCAGGGTATCCCGTCCTCCAGCGCCCAGTCGCCATCTGTGGCACTCAGGCGGTCTTTCAGGTAGGAGACCTGCGGCAAGTGTCAGAACGATGCGGAAGAAGATCACTTGAATACAGGGGTCAGGTTGTTACGGATGTCGCTTCTAGCTTAACTGGATCTTGCAGGGTGGCACGAGCGCCAGCGAGGACGTTCAAAAAGGCAGCAATGCCGAATGCAGATTCGAGCAACATCTACCCCTCACTGGCGCAGTACAGCTGCACCCTGCCTGGGACTAGCTGAGAATGCAACGGGCTATTATTTGCAACATGACGGATCTAACAGGAGGCTTCCAGGACACCCGACTTATTTTTCCCATTTCCCCACATGCTTAGCGGTGGGGCTCCTCCCACACGCGTCCCACCCGCGGTGTCGCGCACCGCCACCATTGTCCCTCTCCTTCTCACCTGCTCTCGCGCACGCGCATCTGGCACAAACAAACATGGAGCCACGCACGCGCACAGAGACACGGGCACAAACAACACACATATACGTCACACGCAGGTAGGAGAGGGAGGACACGTGGACGAGCCAACGCTGGGATACACCTGGCAGGTCGCAAGGCGTGGCAGGCTTGGCACGGTCTACACACCAGAGAGGTGCGCAGGGGGTGGGGGCGCTATCCGTCGTGAGGTCGCAAAGCGTGGCAGGCCTGGCACTTCCTGGACACCGGCGGGGATGCGCATGGGGTGGGGGGCGCTATCCGTCGTGAGCTCGCCAAGCGTGGAAGGCCTGGCACTTCCTGGAGACCAGAGGGGGTGCGCAGGGGGCGGGGGCGCTATGCGTCGCACGCTCGCACAGCGTGGCAGGCAAGCACGTCCTGGAGACCAGAAGGGGTGCGCAGGGGGCGGGGACGCGATCCGTGATGAGCTCGCACAGCGTGGCAGGCGTGGCACTTCCTGGACACCAGAGTCTCACCAGGGGGGGGCGCAGGGGGTGGGGGGCGCTATCCGTTGTGCTCTCGCAGAGCGTGGTAGGTGCAGCAGTCTCTCGGCACCATAGGGAGCGCGCTGGGAGTGGGGGGGCGATATTCGTCGAACGCTCGGCGCATGTCATCAGCTGCGTCCAGACAGGCACTCAGACCGTCGTGAGCACCGCTGACCCCCTGACTACCTGTGCTGTGGCAACGTCGTGCGTGCCCCCGCTCCAGGAACCGGCCCTTGGTTACAGCCTCGCATCTAGCCCCGCGGGAGGAAAGGAGGATGGGGAGGAGGGAAGAGTGTCAAATCATGGTGCGTTAGATGGCAATCTGGACAACACTCTCCTTGAACTTTCAGAAAGCAGGATCCTGCACCAACGATTTTACGTTTTTAAAGACATTCAATACGTATGTCTGGTTCCTCGGTAGCGAAATTTTCCAGACTTGGCCCCCGAGGCTCTCGACACGATCACTGGGGCCGATTTCATCTCGAGCAATCGTCGGGTGCGCCAAAGAGGGGAGCAAGGAAGACGGGGATTCGCGCATCATGGGCCGAGGCATGTGCGCGGACGAGGGGGGGACCAGGCCGGATATGATTATTATCATCACGCCCTGATAACTATCCTCACGCCCTCATCCTCCCCCCCCCTCTGGCGGTCCCGAAATGTTGTTGAAAGCCCAGGGGTCCAGACCCCGCAGGCCAAAACGGCGAAACACCTGCGGTGCATCGCCGGCTCCTGGTCGCCAAGAAAATCTGGGACGTGGGCGCCGGAGGGCCCACCTCCTGTGCCCCCCCCCAGTTTGGGAGGCGCGCGAAGCGTCCTCGACGGGGGCAGCCTCGACTCGCGCCTCGCCCCGCAAACACATCGACGAGGACGCGGAGCCCTCCCGAAGAAGATACCCCGACACGGAGGAGCCGACCCGCAAGGCCGAGGCCCCCAGATAGACGAGCGCGTTCCACTGATCGCAAAGTAGTGTGGCCCCTCGCGAACGGCCTGGATCCACTGCATCGATGGCGAACAGGCTCCACCGCATCGAACAGCAACTGTTTTCCTGGACGTTTGCCAGGAGGCACTCTGCGAGTAGTGGTAAAATTACGCGCTCGGTCCCCAGAGGTCCCCGGAGGTCTCCAGAGGCCCGCTGGAGGCTGGGCGGGCACCGGAAACCGAGACACCCTGCGAGATGTTTGCTTCGATCCGCGGCCGCCGACCTCCCGACCCCTTCCATAGAGGATCTTCTGACCCGGGTCAATCCAGACCCAGGGCTCTGCAGGATCCTGTAAGATCCAGCGCTCTGGCTGACCCCCTTTGGCCCTTTGCGTGAATCCTCGCCTCTTGAGCCCCGATTCCAAAGGGGAATTTTTCCGCCCCAGATCAGCGCTTGATTGCCCCAGGGCCCATACGCGGGCCCCCCCAGGGCCGACGGCAAGGACAACTCGAGTAGAAGATCAACTACAAGATTCATGAACCCCAAAAAGTGCTTACTCCGTCGAATCCACGAGAAGTATGTAGAATGGTTGCACGTATGCGAACATTATATGCATCTGTCGTAGATTCGGCGAAAGCATAAATTCTGGGGTAAATCAATTATGTAGTCGACATCCTACTCGAAGAACGCCGCGATTGAAAGCCGACCTGGGACAGAAGAACATCCTTCAAGAATATGAGACCCTCCGCCAGCCAAACTGAAAAACACACTCGAGAGTGCCTCCCCCCTCCAGGATGCACCAGAACGTCCCACAAGCACGAAGAACATCAGGGCACCCCCGAACCGACCTCAAAGAACGCCGCGACTGAAGTGAAACACACACACACACACACTCGCACACACACACACACACACACGCACACACGCGCACACACGCGCACACACATGCGCACGCACGCACACGCGCACACGCACACACGCGCACACACACACACACACACGTCGACGGAGGCCCGGGTACGTGCGGAGCCCTCCCCCCGCGAGCCCCCCAAGGGTCGAGGGCAGGCCTCGGCAGGGCGAGGAGGCGCCGCCGCCCCGAGGGGCCCTCGCCCTCGCGCCGCCGCCGCGACGTGCCCCTGGGGCCCAAGGCCGCCGGGCGCGAAGCGCGGCTTCGAGCGGGAGAACGACTACAGAATCGATTTGCCCCGAGATCGACGTGTCCGTCGCGTCTGCGACGGATGCGTAGAGTGCTCGTAGATCTGCGACCGCTCGATGTGCGCTCGCAGACTCGGCGGAAAAGCACAGATGTTGGGGCAAATGCATGTTGTTGTCGACCTCATACTCGAGCTGCATCTTCGCGCGACCCAGGCGCTCGAGGCCGCTGCGCAGCGGCCAGTCCGCCGGAGAGGCAAGGTGCGACGACACAGGTTCCGATCCCCCCCTGGTGCCCCCCCCAACACATCCCGCCACTGCTCCCGTTGGACCAGAAAATAGACGACACCACACCACCTACGGCCCTGCGGGACTTACTGGATACCATGAACTCTGGCTTGGGCTGCGGCGCCTGATGGGCCGAAGAACAACATGGAGAGCCACAGGTGGGGTGGTGCCGTTTGTCATTTGGTCAACCCCTCTCTTCCTCCTCGGCCCCCTCCTCCTCCTCCTCTCCCTCCCTCTCTCTCTCTCTCGCAGCGCTCCCCAGCGTTCCCGGCTGCGCTCGCGAGCCCGCGGCCGCCCGACGGGGCAGGCAGCCGGCCCGACGCGAGTGGGGACCCTTTCCGGAGAGGGGGGAGGGGGAAAAGGATACCTTGCCCGTACCCCTCCTCTGCTCACCCTCTTGCTGCTGGTCGTCGTTCCCCTCTTCCCCCAACCCTCCTTCCCTCGCCCTCAACTCCGCTCCATCTTGCAGCCCCATTTCGTCCCTTGTCATCTCCCGTGCCCAGTCCTCGCCATCCACAGCAAAGTTCGCACAGCCGCAAATCCACATGCGTCCAGGGAACAGAACAAGCCCTCTGCCTGAGAAAGGAACAGGTCCTCTTCCTTTCCTCTGTCATGAAGCCCAGCTTCCAGGACTGGCGACTGGCTGAACCGACCAATGCCGAACAAAATCGGCCCTGCTTCGGTAGTATTCCACCAGTTACATGCGCTTCGAACCTTCTGCCCTGCAGCTGGCCAACAGCGCTGAGGCCACGATTCGGATCGCAGATTTGCCTACACTGTCCTCTCACGGCGAGAAATGTCACTGCGATTCTGCGGATGGGCGCAAAACCCCCAAGAACCCCATACAGCCGCCATGTAAGGCCTTAGACAAACACCAAATATGTTATTCCTCTTTTCTTCCTCGTCCTCCTCTTCCGTCTTCTCCTCCTCCTCCTCCTCCTCCTCCTGCTCCTCCTCTTCCTCCTCCTCCTCTTCCTCCTCTTCTAGAGGCTTGTAGAAACACCACTTATACAAACTATACAACTAAACGAAACTAACGAAACCGCCCATCGATCCTCACCCAGTTTCTCTTCAAGCTCTTCACCCAAGGTGTGCGGGGGGAAGGGGAGGAGGAGTGAAGAGGAAAGGGGGGCGGCAGAAGGAAGAGGTGAATGAGGATGCGGATGAGCGCGAAGGAGGAGGAGGAGGAGGAGGAGAACGAGGAGAGGGAGGAGGAGGAGGAAAAAGATGAGTAGAAAAAAAAACAGAAGCGATCCCAAAAAGGTCCCATGTGACTCACTTGTGGATGATATCGCCATCCTCCTCCTCCTCCTCCTCCTCCTCCTCCTCTTCCTCTTCCTCCTCCTCTTCCTCCTCCTCCTCCTTTTCCTCCTTTTCCTCCTCGTCTCCCTCGTCGTTTTCCCGTATGATCGCCTGTCTCGCATTCATGTTTCCTTTTCTCCCTGGTTGCCACCTTCACATCATCCTCCTGCTCCTCCGTGTGAGCGGAGGCAGGACGGGGCAACGATGAGAGGGAACAAAAATCGGCAGGGGGAATCTCCAGAGTCTACAGGACTGCATGGGTCCCCGAAGGTCCCGGGAAATACCCATAACTCGGCCTCCGCATGCAGCCAAGAGGACAGGGGCACTGCCAGGAATAATAGAAAAAAACTGGTCATCGAACCTCGACCCCTTTTCTCGCCGTCCTCGAAGAGGGGATAAAAGGGGCCCACGTATGGACGCTCGCCTGGAAAAAATCCGTGGGCCC